GCGGTGACTAAGGGTACAGGGAAGGGTGAGGAGTGTAAAGATGCCACTGTGGTGTCTGGCTTGGTCACCTTGGATGGTGACACTCTTCACCGAGCTGGGGAAGGCAACAAAAAACGCAGGTTTGGAAAAATAGAAAGAGTTAGGTTCTGGGCGTGCTGCATATGGAGCACCCTCCAGGGAGGGCTTCAGGTGAGTTTGATATCACTGTGGGCCTGAAGCTCAGGACAGAGGGAGGGTTGGAGGTAGAGACTGAAGAGTCGTCCCCAAGCAACAGTAGAAGCCTCGGAGTGGATGAGAAATTCCAAGAGAGGCAAGAAGTTCCCAGAGAAGAGGCCATGCTGGGCCCTCTGGCTTCAAGGGGAAAGAGGAGGAGAAAAGTCAGTGGAGAAGAAGTGGGGAAAGAATCATTGTCAGCTGAGAGGTTGAGAGAAAATCAGGAGCGACTTGGGAGAGAGCTGTGGCCCCCAAAGGCTCTGCACACCCATGAATTACTGCTGTGATGTGAACACTGGGGGAGCACCCCAGCCCATTCTGCCCACTGAAAGGCCAGCCCTCATTGCCCCCGTGCCAGGACGTGCAGACCCTGCACTGTGGGGCCATGGTCTGACCTGCCAAAGGAAGCCCTCCTTGAGGCAGCCCTCATCTTATCTTTGACTAGTGGGTTAACAAAAAAGATATTTTAACAGCCAGCCCCAGGGTTTCTTCCAAGTGAAAGCTCTCTATGTTAGAGACAATATCACCCTATACCTAAAGAGCTTGGGTCGGGGAGGGAGACATCAGCCTGTAAGGAGATGGCAAAGCCAAGGGCAACCGGGCTCTTGTGCCTAAGAAGTCGACAGAAGTCCTGAGACGGGGCCGAGGTCGAGAGGCAGCAAAGTGGAGGAGGCTGGAGTGAGACGAGACGGGGCAACGCACATCACAGGGAAGCCGGGGCTTGCCAAGACAGAAGCCAGGGAGAAGCTTCCAGGGGGAGGGGCCGAAAGGCTCTGGGGTTCCTGACTGCTCCAATTTTCATTTCAAGCCACTTGCATTGTTGAGGTGTGAAGTCCCTGCATTGCCACAAACCTCCAATAAAGGCTGTGCTGCATGCAAACACCTTTGTTAATGGTTTTGTTTTTGTTTGGGGCGGGGGTCAGGAAAAATGGGCCAAGTTTTCAACTTAGGTTGGCAGAGCAGAACCAAGATGGGTGAGGCATGGCAGTGAGTTCAAGGTTCAAAGGAAGCCAGAGCTGACAAAGATTCCTGAAAATACTTGGAGGGATTGTAGATTTCCACCTCATTAAGATGGGATATGGATGTGAATTGTACTTCAGAGGACAGAGTGACAGTCCCTCTGCCTCTGATATATGGGCTACATTTGTCTTTAGTTTCCATATTGATTAAAAAATATGATATTTATAGTTCTGTAAAAAGAACGAGAATTGTGTTTTCCGTTTCACAGCTTAAATACTTAATTTCATTTACTATCATGTTTCACATTCTGTTACCATGTTACAACTCTGATGCCTCTCCTTGGAAGATCAGTGTGTTAAACCGTGACATCCTCTGGGTAGGGAGTGGGTAGAGGTGCTATCAGGAAGAGTGGAAACAGCAGATTCAGACCACAGTTAGGCCACTCAGGGCCACACACTTGTGTGTAGGGGCCAAGGTCTCATGTGATTGGTTTGGACATTCCCGGTATCAATCACATGAAGAGAGGCGTGTCCCAAGTTATCCCATGTTAGAAAGGGGGCCTGAGAGGAGGGGACTTAGGAAGGCGAGAAACGAGACTAGTTTCCCCAGGCTCCATCAAAAAGGACCAACCAAGGCTGAGGCCAATTCTATTGGCTGAGGAGGGCTAAACAAACACAGAGTCAAGCAGCAACTCAGATTGATTGCTTGTGGCTTGCCTGTTTGAAAAGAATTCAGTTGCCTCCAGACTCAAGCAGGAAGGGTGTTATGATCAATTAATTATGCCTCCCATGGGAATGGTAGAAGAGAAAGGGATCTATGTGCCAAGTATTTTCCATTGCTCGTGTAGACAGGAAAATGGGTGTGAGCATATGGTGGAAGGAGGGAGCTGCTTCTCCTCGAGCTAGCCTTCTGATAGTAATTACAGAAAACCTTCCTCTAAACTTGAACCCAAGGAGAGCTACTTGTTCCAATCACTTCTCAACTCCTTGAAACAATCCTCCTAGACTTATACCTGGGTGTTCAGAGATCCATGGGGTTTCAAGATGAGGGTTTCAAGAAGGAAAGAGTGGTCAAGAATACAAAAGCCTGTTGAGACATCAAGGAATATAAGGGCCAAAACAATTCCCGTTTGACTTGGCAACGTGATGCAAAATATTTGCGCCAAAGGCCAGTTTGCAGGGGAGTAAGTGGGAGATGAGGATAGACAAGGCTGGGTGGAGCTTTCAAGATGCTGGGCATTGTTGGTGTCATGAGGAAACCCTTCTCATGATGTCACAGTTTGTATAAGGTGGTTAAAAATATCTACATGTATTATAATCTCAATCATATATATATTCACAATATATGCATGTATGCAATATGTATTAGACAAAGCTGGAGGCATAACCCTCCCAGACTTCAGACAATACTATAAAGCTATAATAATCAAAACAGTATGGTATTGCACACAAAAACAGACGTATGGATCAATGGAACAGAATAGAGACACCAGAAATAAACCCACATGCCTACTGTCAATTAATCTTCAACAAAGGAGGCAGGAACATACAATGGAGAACAGTCTCTTCAGCAAATGGTGCTGGGAAAGCTGAACAGCCACATGTAAATCAATGAAGTTAGAACACTCCTTCACACCACACACAAAAATAAACTCAAAATGGCTTAAAGACTTAAATAGAAGACATGACACTGTAAAACTCCTAGAAGAGAACATAGGCAAACATTCTCAGATATAAATTGTACCAATGTTTTCTTCACTCAGTCTACCAAGACAAAAGAAATAAAAGCAAAAGTAAACAAATGGGACCTAATCAAACTTATAGGAAACCACCAAAAAAATGAAAAGACAACCTACAGAATGGGAGAAAATATTTGCAAACAATGTGACCAACAAGGGCTTAAATTCCAAAATATACAAGCAGCTCAATATCAAAAACACAACCCAATCAAAAAATGGGCAGAAGACCTAAATAGGCATTTTCCAAAGAAGACACACAGATGGCCAACAGGCACAGGAAAAGATGCTCAACATCACTAATTATTAGAGAATTGCTAATCAAAAGTACAATGAGGTACCACCTCACACCAATCAGAATGGCCATTAGCAAAAAGTCTACAAATAATAAATGCTGGAGAGGAGGGAAATGTGGAGATAAGGGAACCCTCCTGCACTGTTGGCGGGAATGTACATTGGTGCAGCCACTATGGAGAACAGTATGGAGGTTCCTTAAAAAACTAAAAATAGAGTTGCCATATGATCCAGCAATCCTGCTCCTGGGCATATATCCAGAAAAGAGGAAAACTCTAACTCGAAAAGATACATGCACCCAGTGTTCATAACAGCAGTATTTACCATAGGCAAGACATGGAAGCAACCTAAATGTGCATCAACAAATGAACGGATAAAGAAGATATTACACACACACACACACACACACACACACACACACACACACACGATGGAATATTACTGAGCCATCAAAAAGAATGAAATAATGCCATTTGCAGCAACATGAATGGACCTAAAGATTATCACACTAAGTGAAGTAAGTCAGAGAAGACAAATACCATACATCATTTACACATAGAATCTTAAAAAAAATGACGTAAATGAACTTATTTACAAAACAGAAACAGATTCACAGACAAAGAAAACAAATTTATGCTTACCAAAGGGGAAGCCAGGGGCAGGGGGAGGATAAATTAGGAGCTTGGGATTAACAGATATATATACTATTATAAATAAAATAGTATATTTTAAAATATACTATTTTATATACAATAGTATATTTTATATACTATTGTATATAAAATAGATAAATAACAAGGTCCTACTGTACAGCACAGAGACCTATATTCAATATCTTGTAATAACCTATAATGGAAAATCATCTGAAAAAGAATAGATATATATGTATATCTGTATCACACTGCTGTACACCTGAAACTAACACAGCATTGTAAATCAATTATACTTCAATTTAAAAAAAAGAGGAAGAAGGTGGGAAGGGAATATATGAAAATCGTGGTTAAAATGGGTAAATTTTGTTTCTTTATTCTCTTCTGTATTTTCTAAGCTCACTTAAAATGGTCATGTGCTATTTTTATCATCAGATAAGAGGCATGGGAAATTATTTTTGAAATAAGCTTGATTACTATACAGGGGCAATAAGAAATAGGCTGGGAAGGGGGTGACCAACTGTCTCGGTTTGCCTGGGACTGAGGGGGTTTCCAGGATGTGGGACTTTTGGAGCTAAGAAATGGGAAGGTGCCAGGGAAACCAGGATAAGTTGGTTACCCTAGCTGGGAGGCTGAGACCGATGCAGCACTGAAGGAAGTTGGGTTTTTCTGGGGGGCAGTGCTGGGGTAAAGAGGTTTTGAGCATATTTGAAGACTGGGAGGAGGACACCATTATATAGGGAGAGAGGTTGAATTATAGAAAAGAGAGAAGAACTGCCGGGGTGAGATCAATAGGAAAACAGCTGGGAGACAGCCGTGCACAGGAGACACATCGGTAACAGGAAGAGAAATGATGTATCTTCCGAGATAGGAGGGCAGGAGGGAAGGGCAGACAGACTAAAAATAAATTTGTTGATGCAGGGGAAGCAGGTTGGGGGAGTGCACACCTGAGGACTACGAGGTCCAGGGAGGCCTAAAAGCCCCTAGAATACCTGGGGACCCGGAGGACCCTTGGTGGCCCCCAGACATGGGCTCCCCATAATGGGTACCCCACCTCCTGCTGGAGTGGATGGAGACTGGGTCCCACTGGAAGCTGCAGCATCCCTCCAAGGTGCTGCCCACCCCTCAGGCCCTCCCTGGCCACCTACCTCTGCAGGAGGGCAGCGGGAAGTCCCACGTGGCACTGTTCTCAGAGCCAGTGTGGCAAGTAAGCACGGCGTGGCCCTCCAGGAAGAAGCCGGGGTTGCAGCTGTAGCGGACCTTGTCGCCGAGGTTGAAGGTTGAGCCCTGCTGGACGCCGTTGGGCAGCCGCCCGGGGTTCCCACACGTGTGGCTGGGGAGAGCTGTGAGCAAAAGGAGAGACACGCAGCCCGTGAGCAGGTCTCCGGCCCTGACACCTGGCCTCTGAGCAGCATCTCTCTGGGTGACCCTCCTCCCCGGACCTCCTTTTCCTTCGTAGGAGAGGGCTGACCCTGAAGGCTGCCCGGCACCTGAGTACTCGCAGGGCTCACACGTTCAGGAGGAGCCACACACGCAACTTATACCTGGACATCCAGGTTTCCTGCCTTTTCTCATGTGCAGCCCTGGATGTGAAGTATGTCTGAACTGTGGGTAAGCATCAGTTAAATCCATTTCACCTGTATCCTGCCTTCACCAATCAAGGTCGTTTTAACTGTTGCTACAAAAGACTTGCATGTCCTCCAAGAGCCTGAACAGTAAGATGTTTGCCTGAATTGTTTTCCAGGAACTTGTGTCTAGTTCAAATTAAGCCAGTTAAGACTAGCTCTAACTGGACATGCGCAAGTGTCTGCTTGTTGACTTTTGATGTCAGAGGGCCCAAAACTCCACCCTCAGATGGTGCTAAGCACCCCCAAAATGGAGGCCTGTAGCTTAGTTACGCCTGAGCAGACCGATGATTCTGCACCTTTTTCCAATCACCTTTCCCCATGCTTCCCAAGCTCCCCACGCCTCAGACCACACTGCTTCTTTAGTCTCTATCCCACAAATACCCTAAGCCCCTTGCCTTTGGGAAGGCCGATTTGAGACTTGTTCTCCCATCTCCTCGCTTGGCTGCTTTGTGAATAAACACTCTCTTTGCTGCAAACCCTGGCGTCTCAGAGCTTTGGCTAAAACGAACCTGGTTCAGTAACACGTCCATCCCATCACTCAAGATGCCCCAGGGAAATCACTTTAATCTCCTGGGTTTGGTTGCTCTGATCTCAGACTCCACAGTCCTTCCCAATAAACACCATGGAAGGGACACAGACAGTGGCACGGAGTAGGTGCTCATTAAACCCGATGTCCTTTCTTTAATGATCTGCCCCAGCAGCCAGCAGGTTTGGGGGAGTTGAAGGGGTCATTAGCGCCGGAGTAAGCAGTGAGGTAGGGAGACAAGAACCTGAGTTCTGATCAGACTGACCCGTTTCAAGGGGAAAATAGGGAGCCGGAGGATAAGATGTACAGTGTTCCACCTGAGCCAGAGCAATAACGCCAGCTGCCGGTGTGTACTCATTATCCAGAGGAAACAGTCTTGGTGAGGGTGCGTGAGCATCATGACCCGCCAGTCAGGAGGGAGAAAGGGAGGGCGCAGCTCCTCTGTGCCCGAGTCACTTGTTCAACCTGACTCAGCTCCCCTACCCTCTGCCTTTTTTCCTAGAGTTGGAACTGCCTGTGCCCAGAAGGTCCCACCTCCTACCATTTCACACCTCCCCGTAAGGCAAGGACAAGTGGTCACAGCCGTGTCCAGATTGCCATCCAAGTACCTCTCCATTAATTCATCTGGCGATGGTTTATTGAGGCCAACCCTGAGAGGCCACAGAGCAGGGTGGTGGAAAGTACAGACCCGAGAGTCTCAGTGCTTGGGTTCGCATCACAGCCTGATGGATAACTACCTGTGGGAACTTGAGCTAGTCTCTTAACCTCTCTGTGCCTCAGTTTCCTCCTTTGTAAGAGGCGGTTCGCAAGAGTACCTTCCTCTGGGGTCACTGTGAGCATTATGTGAGTGGAGGTATGTAAAGCCTGGATACAGTGAATACCACACAAGTGAATCTAAGTTCCCAGTCCATTGGGAGATGCATACGATTAAAGGTACGTTAAGTGTTACGATGAGATAGGAACCAGGCAGGGGAACAAACCCAGTCAGGGGGTAGTCAGGGCCGGCTTCTTGGAAGAGGTGATGTCTATGCTGAACCCTGAGAGATTAGTAAGAATTAGCTAGGTCAAAGTGTGTTCCAGGCAGAGGAAATATCATGTGCAAAGGCCCTGAGGCCAGAGATAACCTAAGAGATCAGAGAGCCTGGAATAAGAGGGTAGGGGTGGCAGTGATGAGGAATAAAGATGAAGACGTGGAGACGGCCAGCCTGGATTCTAGAGAGCTTCCCAGGCCCTTGCAGTACCCTCTTCCAGCCCATATTTCTGTCTTTCAGGACCCTCTTTGCCAGCCTTGCTGATCTCAGAGCCCTCAGAAAGAAGGCTTTCTCTCCCACTTCTCCTCTCCTCCCAGGAGGACACAGCTTGTTGTAGAGGGAAAGGGCGGACTTTGGTACTAGCTTGATCTGGTCTGAAGCCAGGTGCTGTCACTGTCTTACTCTGTGGCCCTGAGTCATGTGAGCTCTCTGAGCCTCAGTTTCCTCAACTGAGAAAGGAGGGCAGTAATATCTAGTGGTCGATGAGGTTACTGATAATAACTGATGCATGGCTGGCACAGTGCCCAGCACAGAGTAGGTGCTCAAAAATGGCAGGTGTTATCCTTCCACTGTACTGTAGGGCCATGCAGTCCTTGGGTGTATCCTGGGAGCCTGACACTGTGTGTGACACTTGTAGGGACATATTTGGGTGTTCATCGATTAGTCATTTGGAAGGGTTACCCACTGATGCATTAATTCCTTCATACAACGAAAATATATTGTGGGCCTACTGCACTCTGGTAGTACAGCAATGAACTAGACAAGAAGGGCCCCTGCCCTTATGTTTTTGTGGAAGAGCTATCTTAAGGGCTGAAGAGCTCCTCCAGGCCCGTTCTCTACCTCTGACAAGTGAGATAACCCAGATGAAAGGATTGACTTCCGTCACCCTATTACCTTAGCTTTCACTCGATCCCGGTCTGTTGGCTCCCTTGGCATTCCCCACAATCCCACAGTGCTGGCTTCCTTGGCATTCCCCACGATCCCGTGCTGCTGGCTTCCTTGGCATTTCCCATGATCCCACAGTGCTGTCTTCCTTGGCATTCCCCACGATCCCGCACTACTGGCCACAGTGGAGGCAGGAACTGCGATGTGTTTGTGAGTGTTGGGGGTGGGAGGGGCAGGTCAGGTAAACATTTGGAGAAGAAAGCAAGCTAAGGTGAGGGGAGGGAGCCAACCTGGGAAATGGGCTGAGAACTGGTGTAGAACTAACGGTTCATTTTCCACAACGAGACGCCAAGACCCAATTTAATTAAATTACTAATGTCACATTTTTAATGAACCTGTTTCTGCTTTGGACTTTCTTCCTTTGAAATTAATGATTGGAACGTCACTATAAATAAAACCCGATTCTTTTTCAAAAGTCACTCTAACGCTCACTGCTTTTTACTTAATGAGCGCTCATAATCAGATCACTCTGACCTGGCACCTCCACTGGGACTTGGGTGTGATGAGTCTCAGTTCCAACCCCACCTCCTTTTTTATCTTTGCTCCCGAAAGGTCACTCAGGGAACAGAGAGAGGGCAGACGTTGGGCTCAGAGAGGCCTGGATTCAAATCTCAGCTCGTCCACCTCTGGCTGAATGATCTTGAGCCATAAACGTTACCTCTCTGGACTTCAGTTCTTCATCTAGAAATGAGGATACTTTCTTTTTCTTCCTATGGGGTTAGAGGGTGAATTGCGTTAGTTTCCTGGGGCTGCTGTAACGAAGCACCACAGACCAGGTGGTTTAAAACAACAGCTGTTTATTGTCTCACAGCTGTGGAGGCTGGAAGTCTAAAATCAAGGTGTCGACAGGGTCGTGATCCCTCTGAAACTTGTAGGAGAAACCTTCCTTGTCCCTTCCTAGCCTCTGGTAGTTTTTTTTTTAGCAATCTTTGACGTTCCTTGGCTTGTCTATGCATCCATCCAATCCTTCACCTTCACCTGGCATTCTCCCTCTGTGTCTCTATGTCCAAATTTCACCTTTTTATAAGGACACCAATCATATTGGATTAGGACACACTCTAATGGCCTCATCTTAACTTCATCATTTGCAAAGGCCCTATCTCCAAATAAGGTCATATCCGCAAGTACTGGGGTTGGGTCTTCAACGTATCTTTTTGGGACAGAATTCAACTCATAACAGGACCGTTGTACAGATTAAATAAAGCTAGATTTATAATACCCACCACTGAGTTCCTCGTATGTTTTGGGCCCTGGGCTACAAATTTATTTTACTTAATCCTCAAAGCAATCATGTGTGACAACTATTATCCTCATTTTACAGATGAAAAAAACGGAGGCACAGAGAGCTTAAGCAACTTCCCTAAGACCCCAGAGCTAGAAAATGGCAGAGCTAGGTTCTGAATCTAGGTCTTTCTGGCTCCATCATTCAGCACTCTTAATTCTGGAATACAATACTGACAGAGACAGTGCCCAGGACGTAGTGGGTGCTTAATGACCAAGAGTTCCCTTCCTCCCTTCATTATTCTAGACACTGAGACAAAATGAAGGGTGATTACCTGATTGTCCAGATTTAATTGTCTGTCTTCTCCAGCCTGATTTGCCAATCTTGTACTTTTTAAGAGTGTCAAGGGCAACATAAAGTTTGGTCTTTTGTATTGTGTCTGATGCACAGCTTTCTGGACAGACAGAGATCAGAGATAAGCCTCAAAGGCCAGGCTTTCTAAGGCACAGCGTTCTTTGATTTCTGGATTCTGCCCATGTGTTTTTTTGGCACAGACCTTATAACCGTTCATGCTCTCCCGCCTGGAAAACTTCCCTTTGATTTCTTACAAAATGAAGAGTGGGATATTTACATCCAAGGCAGCCCAGAACGATATTATTAAAGCTGTGCGTGACATTGAACAATTCCATTGTAGATCAGCTGTGGGGAATTTTGTCCCTTCTACAAAGCCCGGCTCTTGCCACTCAACAAGATATTCTCAGTGACTGTATGACAATGAATCTCCTTTGTGGCTGGAGTGCAGCAAAAGCTACATAATACCTTCTTTTATTTTTAATGTGAGACTTTAGTTCCCATATTATAATGAAGAGTCGTTTAATGCTCTCTGGACAAGCACCCTCCATGTGTTTTGATTTCTTATCTTCCATCAAGTAACTTGTTTCATGTCCACGGTCATACGGTTGATACAAAGTGGCAGGGTGGCTGGGAGAAA